CAAGTAACAGGAGCAAGTTTCTCTGTTCTCAGTTCCAAGCCTTTTTCAGCACAGACAGCCCAAAAGCTGCTTTAGTTTTGTTCATGGTCGTGTTGCTGCCGTTGTTTCGCTGGTCGTGTCTTGCTTTTTTTGCCGACTTGTTTGCCTGCATCTGCAGAGCTTCTCTCCACTGCTCTGTTTGTTAAAAACGTATACATATGAATGCCCACTCTCCCCCCCACCCCCGGCATTCAGATCAGTCACATACGTCTGTGCTATTTCCCACGCTTGGGGAGAACCCATGGGACCCTACAGCTCAGCTGTTGCCCCACCCTCAGTGTGGCTTAGTCCTTATGTGACTGATTTGCTGCAATTTTAGCCATTGCTGAACAAAGGGGTCCCTCTAAATTGTTTCCTGAAATAGGCTGAGTGGAAGATAATTATCATGCCAGCAACTTCAGCGAAGTGCTGCAATTGGCCACAGATCAAAGACTCATTCACTGGGAACTTAGCTGATGGAGAACTACAGAATATTCTTTATGGCTCTAATATAGGAAACTGAGTAAAACACAGGGGTTTAGTTCTACTTCTGGAATTGCTCTTCAGGGAGCACTGGGTTGTCTAAATGCCCCATATTTTAATGACATTTCTTAGTCAAAATTTCAGGTCAACTTTCCTAGTTTTTCTTTTCCCATTGGGTGTCTAGTGAATTTGATCATTATTTTCATTATTTAAGTCTGAAGTTTTTATTGAAGTGCAGACAGATAGTGCCTAAAGATAGAATTTAGGGCCCAGACTGCCAACATGTTATTAGTTTTCAGAGGTACACGGATGGTTATGGTGTGTGGAGACTGAAGTGCAGCACTACCTTGAAGTTTGCTAGAGGTAGCCCTGCTTTGGCAGACTCTTCCCATTGTTTGAAGTTTCAAAAGTCAAAAATACCTTTGTTAATTTTTTAATTTTGTTTTCTGCTGCAATTTTAAATTTAAAAGGGATGTCTTGTAGGTTCTTCTCTGCTGGATCCCATATCTGCCAGCCTTTATTTGTGACACACATTTGAAATGTATGTAGAGAGTTTTCCTTCCCTGCCACAGAACCGTCCTCGTGGCTGGGTTTGCCTTTTCCTCTGGGTCTCAGATGAAGAAGCGTTTTTGTCAGTGCAACTTATCAGCTAGCTTGAAACTGCTTAGAGAAGCAGTCATTTAAACAATTTTATTTCCAGAGATTTAGCAATAAATATGCATATTGATCCTTGGAGCAAGTATTACTTCTTCTGGATGAAGAGCTCTATTTAATTTATAGCAGTAAAATCATCTGTTCCCTTGTGATGTTCCTTACCATGAAACAGGCAAAGTTATACTTTCCATGCAATGATATTATCTATCACAGTTAGGCACCCGTATGTTATGTACTTACTTATTTTTATAGAATTTACATTTTAGCTTTCTGCAAAGTAATGAACAGGCAATTTTTATTTTAGGTTGGATGTGCCTTTGTTATATACGTTCTTTTATCTTGTTTCTTTCTAGGTTCTGTCTTTGAATGCCACTGAAAAAGGTATTCCAGAGTATTGCTACCAAAGCCAGAAGCCTCTGAGCCAGTGGGGGATTTGTTTCATGCCCTGTGTCACAATTTTATGTTGTCATTGTTAATATGACAACATGACAATATGAGATTTAGATTGGATATTAGGGAAAATTTCTTCACTGACAGGGTTCTCAGGCAGTGGAACAGGCTGCCCAGGGAAGTGGTTGAGTCACCATCCCTGGAGGTATTTAAAAGACGTGTAGATGTGGTGCTTAGGGACATGGTTTAGTGGTGGACTTGGCAGTGTTAAGTTTATGGTTGGACTCAATGTTCTTAAGGGTCTTTTCCAACCTAAATGATTCTGTGATTTCCAGGCTGTGTTTGTATAGATTGTGATTTAGGAAAAGACTGGTCTGGCCTACTTGTGTGTGTGGGAAATGCAGAAGGGTTTTGGATGCCTTCCTTGAGCAGCCAGTTGTTGCTACCAGTAGAGTGAGTAAAGCATGGAGTGTAAGCAGATGCAGGTGACAGTAGTGGAGAGGACAAAGCTACTACTGTAACCTACTGCAGAGCTCCTGTATAGTCACTGCTTTCTATTACAAGCTGCTCTTCTCCTGAGAGAGGTGGGCCAGGTGGTGCTTGAGCGTTAGCTCTACCCTGGTTAGGTGCCAGACTATGTAGCAGTAAAGTGGCTTACTTGCAAGAATACTCTTTCTTTCACAGAGTAGCGCAAGGAAGTGAAAGGGAAGAATCAGAGGACTATGGATCTCTGATGATGTGGTTCCCAGCCTGTTGGTGGGAATAACAGCTACGTACTGCTCCAATTGTGTAGGTTGTGTCAGGGTCAGAACTGTCTTTTGCTTCTTGGGGAAAAAAAAAATCAGAAACTGAGATGAAAAGGGACTTTTCCCAACAGTAAGAGAAATTTTCCAATGGTGGCATCTGCTTCATGCTTTCTTAGCAAAGTAAACTGTGCTCTGCACAAATCTTGGCTACTTTGATCTGAGGCCTCCAGGGATTTGACCCATCCCCAACAGAGAAGGGCAGCATTTATATATTTCTGAAGTATTTCAGCTATCAGCTGTCCTTCGGTCTGTTCCATCTCTCACTGTGGCATAACCATTGCATCCTTTCTGTCCTTTCACTAGGAGTGAGGATGAGGATGAGATGGGTCACTATGGCAGCCCTTTACTGACCAATTTCTATACAGGGAAGATTATTTCTGTAAAAGGTGGTTCTTCCTAGAACTATGCAAACCCAGATATTGTAGTGGCAAAGAAACATATGCTACTGAGGAATGAGATGGCACTGTGGATTATCATCATTTGCTTTCCCACTAGTGCTCTCAAAAAGAAAGATATTAAATGCTGAAATACAAGAGAGAATACAATGGAGAATTAGGATATTATTGGCAGCTGGCTTTACAGTCATTGTACTGTGGAATGGAAGGATGCAGGGGAGTGAGGACAAATGACTAAGGAACAAAATTTCCTAGCTGAATTACGGTACTTTCTTGTAGGGAGTATTGTCTGGTTCTCCCACCAACATGGGGGATCCAAAATTGTTTCCATCATTCCAAGTGCAGAACGATTATTTAAGTGTTGAGAAGTCCCCAAATGGATCATCCTGATGGGATGCTTCAGCTGATAGAGATGGCTGAGGATATATTCAGTTTCCTAAAATAAAATCTTAGGCATGTAAGCTTTCAGTGGAAAGTTTGAATACATCCTCCTGCCTTTAGCACAACCAACATAAAAAAATAAAATAATCTAAGTCTTTATTTTCAGCCTTTTCTGCAGTATTTGAAAATATATTTGCTACATTTTCTGCAGATTTTCAAGTCTCGAGTCAGGATCAGTAACAAAAGATATCAAAACAGTCCTGAATTCAGACTGAACTCCCAATGCTGCAAGGCCTTTTTTACAGGCAGACATTTGTGCCAGCAGGAACATTCTTGCAGGACTGTGTCCTTAGACAAGAAGTAATATATCAAATAGAATAGAAGAAAGGAACCAGTGAAATATAAATGGTCTTACCATACATTTGTTTCTATTTTTACTATAGATAGATGAAGATTTTCATGGAATCTAAAGGACGACATTTTTGGCTACAGCACGACAAGCTGTTTTATGTATGAGCTGTATGTAATTATATTGAAAACAAACTTTGCTTCAAGAACATTTTTGGCTCCACTGTGCAATAACACAAAGGGCCTTTGTTATGCTCTCAGCAGAGTTATTTATGGATTGCAGAGGACTTAGTAAAGGACAGTTTCATCTGATGGTATTCATCCACTAACTCAAATTTAAATGTAGTGACTTATGTTCATACAAATCATAATTACTAATATGATCAACCAGACAAAGATTTCTGAAACTAGAAATGGGATTGCTCTGCAGATTCAGACCTGGAACAGCAGTAAAGAGTGGGGTTTCAGATCCAGGTCTTTGAATGAGCCAGAATGGAAAATGCAACAAAAGGCTTTGCATAATTCACATAAATTATAATCATCTTCAGTTGAATTGAAAATGAGGCTCTTGGTCTCTTAAATGGAAAAAAAAAGTCACGGAGAGCAGAGGGAGCTAACTGGCTCTTGGGAAGAAAGGAATCCCAGGGCAAAGTGGGTTTGCGAACATCTGCCAGAAGCTCCTACAGGACCTTATGAAGCTAGATAAGGGGACTGTGCTTTCCTCTGGCTCACCTAAAACTGCCATTACATTAAAGGATTACTTTCAGAAATCCTGCTTTCCCCAGATTTTTCCTGCCTGACCTGTGGGACTTGGGAAGCATCCAACGTCAACTTTCTATTCTACTTCAAACTCAGCATGACCATGGACAAACTCTTTAGGGACATATTCAGACCACTTGCTATCAGTACAAACCTTTGGTTTCGCAACTGCTTGGCATCTAGGTTTAAGAGTGTGCCGCTCAGCAATTCAGAGAACTGTTTATACAAGACTGGAAGACCCAACTTCCATATGGCACCAGTAGAGGAGGTATTTATGATAGTGCGGTTAACTTGAACCGGTCTGAATGTAGCCGCTGTTCGTTCTTTTGCTTTGGCTTCCTAGCTGTAAAATAGATGGTCAGTAGTTATTTACCTGGGTTATTTACCTGGGTTCCTGTAAAATTACACACTTTAAAAGACTATGAAGCATTGAGATACTGCAAGAAGGGAGGTTATATAAATGTAATCTGATTGTATAAGCTTCTTCAGATGAATTGCACTTTCATTACCATAACCTTCTGCTACATCCTTGTTGTTTATTCATGCTATTAGTGGTTGCAGAGACTAGATGTTATTTAAGATGAGGAATCCCAGTCTTATTTTCTTCACTCAGTGAAGAATTTTGTTTTGGTCATGCAAACTGCTTGCAGGTCACATTGGCTCCAGCCGTAGTTGCAAACACTGAATGCTTCTAACCATTGGGTCCAGTTTTCTGAAGAATTTCATAATTTCTTTACCATAGCATCTCCCTCCTTGCCATTGCCAGGATCCACTATGACCTATAGCTACCATCGAACTCAAAGTTCGCTATGACCCTATGGGAAATGACAACAAACACTGTTTGGACGGAAGGAGGTACATATAGTAGGCTCAGGAAGTAAGTAGACCAACTTGGCATCATCAACAGTTCACTGTTTACAAACTATTCCTTGACATTGTGCTGTCCTTTAGTTATTAACCGAATAATTAACCACAATAATTAGCTGTTAATTTAGTTATTAACCAAAAGGACCAGATTCTAAGCAGGTTGTTATTGTTCTGAGTGATCAATGGTGTTGTTCTGTTTTTTCCTTTAGAAACCGCTGAGGGGCAGCACGTTTTCACATGGAAAATATTACTGTCTCATGTGTAAGGAAATCTTGAGCTGTGTGTATGACACATTTTATTACTCTAATTAATTCCGTGTATCAGGTCACTGAAGATTATAACAAAAATGTCACTGTGTGCTCCTGTAAATGAATGTGATTTTTGCTTGTTTATGGAAGCTTGATGTGTATGTTCTCTACAAGTAGAAAAAAAATGAAGAATGTCCTGCCAGATGTGTCTGCAAAGCACCTTATATAGCTGTAGGGTGCCCGTAGGATTAAATTCATAAGTAAGTCTATCATAGGTGCAACACACATTTAGGCACTACTTTTAGAAATGAGGCCAGGGTATTAGGGCAAACGAATGAGAAGAGCTTTGATTTATTAGCTACAACTAGCTAACCGAGTAATGGAATAGGCTATGTTACTCAGAAATCTCTTTACGCTTCAGCTAAATAACTGTTTGTTAACCAGACACCCTATTAAAACAGATCCTGTTCTAGCCGGACTATTAAACAGAGCCATGAACAGTAAAGACATACCCAATAGCGAATGCAGTCCATCCTTACTTTTAGTGCCTCTGCTGTAGTTAGCTACACTGTGTGACTGTCTATTTGCCTTGATCCTGGCTACTCAGCTACGCCGCAGGAAAGCACACCAGCCCAGAGGTCTGGAGTGAAGCACTTTGGTCTGTCAGTATTGAATGCTCACCTGTGTGATATGCCCGACTGTTAATAACCCAGGGGAATACTGATTTAGATCCATGATTTTCTGTGTATATTAGTGAGAACAGAATAGCTAATCAGGTTTGCAGAGGATTTCTGCATGGTTTATGCACAAAGCTTTGAACTAAGGGCCAAATCCTTGTTTGGCCAAACAATTTTCTGCATATGATTTGAAAAGTGCTGGCAGTTACCATTTGGACATGCTCCTATCTCCTTTCTATCCTCAGCTGAGGACAACTTCCTGACACAGCTTTTCAGTAACACCTCAGGGTACTCTAAGCTAAATATTCTGGTAAAAATTACAAGTAAAAATCAAAGGTCTGAGTTGCTACACTATTACACCTTGGGCAGGTCGTAACAATTCTGTTCAGCATAAATGTAAAGCATGAATAGACCATAATTCTTTACTTTTGTACTCCTATGCAGCCTTCCTTCCACAGGCTTACGTGACAAAACCAATTAACTTCTTTAATTTTCTAGCCAAAGGCAACTGGAGTGTGAGCTGTCCTGCCCATGCTCTCACACCTTTGCAATGTTCCATATTCCCACATGTGGGAAGAAGCTAGTGGGTAAGAGTCAGGCGTATCATCTTTATGCAACCCAAGGATTGCTTCATTTCCAGGCAGACATAGCTAATCCAGTTTCTGTCCCTTTGTGCTGCTGTATCAGTGTGAATAGAATGGAGCATATAAGGCTTCAGGTCCAAAACAAAAAATGCAAATCGTCTTTCAGGTCAATGGTGCAAATACTAATTATCTTTAAGAGTCCTGTCTGCCTAGCAGAACCAGCAGAACCAGTCACATTAAACATATGTGTAGCAGTATGAAAGTAGGGCGGAATAACAATGATTTGTCTGAGACAGGAATTCTCATATGAATAAAAGCATCAGGAAAGGCAGTAGAAGGTTTAAAGAATACAGCCTTGATTTGCTGTTCAGTTATGGGGCAGTCTTGCCAGGATAGCAGACAGAAACCTGGCAAGGTCTAGCCCTGCAGAAAGCAGTGGCTACAGTGGATGCAGCACTGCATGCCTGTCAGATCAGCTAAATTCTGCCCTATTGTGTGGTAGATGCAGTGTTGTACGGCATTTAATATTACACACAGTGTCTCTTTACCTCTGTATTATTCACTGTGTAGGACAAACATACAATTAGACAGATGTAAGTATGTCTGGTTAAATTTCTTAACTACTAAGAATTAAACTTCGGAAGTTCTGCGTTCTAATAACGTTGGGACTTTGGAGTAGTGTTAGAAGGGAGGCAAGGAGAAGGTAGTGTTTAGCTATATTTTAAGTTTTACATTTGTTAACTACCTTCCAACTTTTTTCTCCACTGTCCTGTTCCTTCTAATTTAAAATCTGTTTGTCTACAGTGTATACTATGTAATTTTTTAAAATAAGAGCTGACCTGGCCATATTCAAAGAAAAACTTCAGTCCAGCCCTTTTATTTTGGCAGTAAAATAAGACTGAAACATTGCACAATGGGAGACTTCATTAGCTTTGACAGTTCTTGTAAAGAAAACACTTCCTTGTTAAGTAACAAATACAGGTGTAATTAAGTCTGTTCTGAAATTACATAGTAATTAATTGCTCTTCTGATTTGTCTGTGTATACAACCCTGAGGAGCCACTTGAGGTTCCACCTTCCCCCGTCCTGTAGCCATACAGAGAGTCGCCAGGAGGCAGTATTTGCACAGATTGCTACAAGCCCGTGTAGCAAAAGTACAATTTGATGGGATTTCATCATACAGAAACAGTCTGAGCAGAAATTATATAGCGAGAAACAAGATTTTTAAGAAGCTTTTGCCTTAATAGGACACATCTTTGATTTTCCATGAAGCTGTAGTACTGTGATACTACTGAGAAATGCCTTTTTACAGAAAGGTTTTTAGGAAGAGCCAGCAGGATCTTCCAGCAAGCCAGCTGATGTAATTGAAAAGAACATGCAAACTTTTCCTGCATATAAGCCTTTCCTTTTCAGGAAAAGACTTTCCTTCTAAATGTGGCAGAAGAACACTGCTGCTTGACCCAAAGAATAGAACAATCTTTTTATTCTTGTTTTTTCTTGGGTGGAACTGCCCTACTTTTTTTTGTTTGATTGGAAATAAAAATTGATCAAGGAATTTTGCGTAACACCTGCTATAAAGCTTGCTACCCTGTCTGCCAAAAGGCAAAGAACAGCCTACTGGGCTGAACAAGTTTGGCCTCTTTCTAGCACTCCTGTGATTTGCAAAATGGTAAATTGCAAAGCAGGGCTTATTTGCTTTTGACCATTTCCCTCCCATGTTTCAGTTGTCACTTGATCTCTTTCTTCAATTGCACTGAAACGATGACATGCAAATGTTTGCAAATGAATGCTACAAAACATTCTTGAACCACCCATCGATAACTGATAATGCTTGTAAAGCATTTTTTGATCGATACATGTTTGCTGTTGCTTTGTTAGTCTTGAGATAGAATCATGCTTCTTCTCCCTATTCCAAACATACATTTCTTCAATCTGCTTTGAAATTAATTTCTTAGCAACTACCCTCCATTCTGATCGCATCAAGTCCTGTTACCCAAATTTGCTCTTCTTTTCAGATTTACAACTTTACTGGACACAGAAGCTCCGAGGTGAAGTTGATCAAAATATATGGGAAGTCCATCTTCCAATTCCTAAAGTTGGGATGTAATTGATTGCTGCCTGTCTCAGGAGTTGTGTATATACAGAGATATACATCATTGATGAAATGTAGTATCATAATTCCATGAAATTGTATGTAGTGGAGGTTGATGTCTCATATAAAACTTAATGCCAGATACCATCTCTCTCAATAAAGTGGAACATAAAGAAAAGGTAATGAATTTTTGTAATAAAGCAAGATGCTGAAATAATATATTTTATGATAATACTCTGCCCATCCCATTCAATGGTGTCTATACTTAAAATAATTTAACACATTGCAGAATGAAATGAGATCAGTTTATATTCAATATTTTATAAAGTCAATGGAGTAGAACAAAACAGATACATGAATACGCTTCTTTCAATGCTTAGGTTAAAAAATGTCACTGAACCTGCCACTGCATCTGCGTATAGAGTTGAAAAAGAAAGCATGAGCTACAAACTGCTTTAGGAAAAAACTTGTGGTACATGGAGATTTCAGATTTGATAGGATTCCTAGAAAACTTTCTTTCAAAAGAACAGGGAAAAACTGGGTTTTCTGTGATTTTGTACCTTACTCCAAAATTTCCTTCATTACAAAAAACCCCTCCTTGCTTTCCTGCAGTTTACAGGTAAATCAGGCCAACACCTGACCACTAAACAGCAGGGTTTTAGGCCCTTTTTTGCATGGGGTTCTGGAAAGCTTTGGAGCTGATTAAAAATGTAGCCATCTTCTCACATGCAGCAGAGAGAGCTTGTAGTTTCTGAAGTTTATGGTTTGTTCAGATCCCTCTGACATTCAGCCTCGTCAGTAAAGGTTTATTCTTTGTATAGCAAAGACTTTGGATTTTCTCTCCTGGATCTGAACTTCCAAGGTTCAGATCACTTCAATTCTGCTTCCAGGTAAAAAAAAAAACATAGAGGTAGGAAGCTCTGGGAAGAGATCTGATGGAGGTGATCTCTGGGTTTATGATGAATCACAGACTCGGGGGCCACAAGGAAAGAATGAATGAACAGGGTCTGTGCAATTGAGAGAGAAGCAAGGAATGTATATAAATCTTCAAATGTATAAAAGACTTCAGCAAAGACAAAGGGAATAAATTCTTCCCGTCTGTAATAAGCTGGAAAGAAATAATGGATTTAAATTCCATCAAGGAATATTCAAATTAGGAAAAATTTGTTAAGAAGAGTGAAGCAACCAGCCAGCCTGGGGTTGGCACAGAAGCTCCATCATTAGATGTGTTTCCAAACAGGTTAAACAAATGTCTTCTCCTGTGAATAGCTGATCCTGCCTTAGGGTACTAAATACAGGAGTTGACCTTCTAAAGCCCCTTTCGCTTCCTATCTAATTTTCAGACAGGCTTTCTAAGGAAACAAATTTCCTAGGATTGTGCTGCCAGCCTGCCTTATTTCCTTAACAAGTCATGTAATAAACCATTAGAAAGCTTTAAGAAATCTAACAGTTCCCTTACCCCTCACTAAGACGTTACACAGAAAGAAATGGGAAATAAAGCTTTGTTGGCTTTGCTGCTCGTTGTTTTTTTGTTTGTTTGTTTTTCTGAGGGGGGTGCATGTTGGGGGTTTTTTTGATCGTTTGGGGTTCTGTAGTGATCAATAAAGCACCCTGTCAACTTGTTTTCATCTCATTGTCAATTCCTTTCTAAGCCCAGCCTGTGATAGGAATCAAACAGGGATTGTAAAGCTTCCCCCTTGGGTCAGCTCTCATTTTGAATGCTCCAAATAGCCTTTTAAATATTTCTCGTCATTGTTAGTGTGTGTTAAAATTCGTCCTTTTTAAACTGGGTATCTAAAAATAAATGCTTAAAATCACACTTTATCATCTTCTTAAATACCATGGTTCTTCAATATTCTGTGTTGTGAACTCATTCACTTCAGTACAAATTTTTGCATATTTGGACAGTTTCAAAAAAATCAGTCCAGCTGCTTGTATAGAGTATGATGGTGAAGCTGCATCCTTTGCCACAGGAAGTCCCTAAACTGGAAATGATTGTTCGAAACACTTCTTTATCAATTGTAGTTTGTATTTTAAGCCACTTCACCATGCATATGTCATTAATGCTGTGTGCATTTTGGTGATGATTAAAGATCTGGCCTTTTTGTTTTACAGATTTTGCATTATTCCACTTTCTGCAGGGGGAACATCCAGAAGGGTTTAGGAAGGAAAGGAGTTTAATGTAGTGCATATAATACTTACATGGATGCTTTCCAAATAATCTACATTTTAAAATATCCACTTTCTTGATTTGTCTACTTTTGGCTTTCATGCAAAATTTCCACCTAGTAACTATTTCAATCTGTTATAAGCTTGGTGAAGGCAGGTGGCTTTTTCTAAAATCTGTCTGCCAGTAACAGTCTGAAAAGGATACTTGAAGTTTTCCATTGAAGTGTTGCATATTTAAATGTTTCCTGAACTGCAGAATATCAACATGGATAGAAGTAATGAAATAAGCTTATACATGAAAAGTAGTCCCAACAAAAGCTATTAACACTAACTTTGAGAATGATCTTTTCATAAAGGCGGTGGCTTTAATGTAGAATGGGTGGGAATGAGATTCTAGGAAGAAATCTAAGTTGTATGGTATTTCACAAAAATAAACTATGGAAATGTATCCTTTATGGGTTCCAAGTGTAGTGATACCCTTCCTAAGGAAACCCTTCACAACAAATTCAGTGTACAAATGTCCATGGGTTTTCTTAACTTAGGTGGATCGATCTATTTCCAAACAGGGTTTTTCATGTCTCCTTATAGCTACGATTCTAGAGTGAATCAGTCAGCTTAAAAAAATCATGGAATGTTCTACTACTCTCATAAGCAGGAGTTATATTTTAGGAAGCTTCAGTTTTTAAGTGCTATTTTGAGTAACCAAGTGTTTCTAATGAGATATCTAGAAATCAGCTGGATCATTTGAAAATTAGTTGTTTACTGGAGATACGCGATTCTGTTTGAGCTCTCATGATTTAAGGTGTGAAGATAATACAATACTATTCCATCATATTACTTTTAATTTATTTGATCTTTTTTAAATTTCAGAATAATCTCTTAAGCCTTTTAGTTTCCAGAGGAGTAAATCTTGTGTACATGGTACCTTGAGACAAAAACAGTGAGTTATTTACCTGTCATTTTTCTTTCCTGTAAGTTCTCTGAACCTTTCTCCTGCATGTAAGAAATTCCTGCAAGATCTCATTCTCCTCATCTTTTGATTCTAATTTTAAGATGTATTTTCTGGTTTACTTTTATTCTCTTGAAGTCAAGAAAGCAACTATAGATAATTGTGTGTCTGAAGCATCGGCAGCTTGTGTGTCCCTGAACTAGCCCTCAACAGATCTTGAGGTCTGAGGAAGCTCCTACATAATCCCAAACTAAAAACAGACTCAGGAGTGGAAGTCTGTTGATACCATATTTATAGATGGCTTTTTCTCTTTTCACAGGTGAGTTGAGCCAATTATTACTTTCCATGTATTTCTGTGTCTTCCCAATTAATGGCACCTAGCTAACAGAAGCTCAATTATTATGAGAATCCAAACCTCCTTCTGACGGTGTATTCTCTAAACTATTTGTCCAGAGAAAGATTTTATTATCAAAATTTGACATGTTTAAATTGTAATCACATTCTTTCTGCATTTTGTCTCTTTCATTACATGTTAACTGATAAATCAACAGGGTACTCATCTTCACAGATTTTCTCATGACGCGTGAGATGGTTTGTAGATAAATCATTCTAACATTCACACAACTACAGTGGATTAGAACTTCCGTTTCTGGAAGAGCTCCTTCAGCTGTTGTTCGCTTGTTGCTTCTTTCTGTTGCATCAGCTCCCTGGCTCCTTTGGTTACTCCCCAGCCATCTGGCTTTGACATTGAAGGACAATATGGCCTGCCTGAAGCAGGCTTCAGATTCTCCCAGTATTCTTTTCTTGCCCTAAAGAAAGAAAAAGAAATTTAGCGTTTTTTCCCAGCACCTCAAAATACTAAAGCAAATGTAGCTTAAATCACCATTGCAAAGGGTCATTTAACTTGCACAGACTGACTTTATATTTATATACAGAAGTGTGAATGAAAGCATGCAATGAAATGCTACGTGCTTAAAAAGTATCTTTTCATGCTTGAAAGGAATGCTGTAAGCCACTCACCATTAGGAGCTGTTTTACTGAAGTCTGTTAGTTTTTGATCTTAACTTTCATGAATTACTTTCACATTAATTCAGACCAAATCTTCATTTTAAAGAGGGATGAGAATTTCTGGAGCTCTCCTACTGCCCTTTCACCCCTTCCCCTGCTCCCAAATCAGATTTAATTCTTCAAAATTATTAACACATAGAATGTTTACAGTGATATTTAGACCTCCATATCAGTTATGCTAGTCTGCTGCATGGACCAATTAAGCCTTTGCAAGGAGTATGTTGGTGTGCTTTCCAGTTCAGATACACATACCTTGCTCTGACCCAGGGTTTGGTATGCATGCTCAGGCCATCGCCCCAGCTACCATGTTTCTCAGAAGCTTCTGGCAAAAACCCTCTTTCAGGACCCAGCTCCTCAGCTATTGCTCGGACGTGATACGGCTCAAATCCACAGCAACCTCCGATGTAGCGAACCCCTAAGTCATAAGCCTTTCTTGCATATTTTTGAATATCCCATCTGGTTACAATTCTTGGCTCCAAACCTGCAAAGACATTGATATCTTAAGTTTCCACTATGTTCCACGTCAGCACATTTTTTGGTAAGAAATCACGTTGTTGAGATACTTGCACACTGTTTGCAAAACTGGTTGTAGAAAGAGATGTATGTTTGAACTGTCTAAGCTAACTGACACAAACTTTCAGAAGTCTAACTTTTAGATTCCGCTATGCTCTACTGAGCTATGCTTATTGTAAGCTTTTTTGGCCTTGCAAAACAGCACCTATTATCTTCTCAGATGAGACTGATCAAGCCCTAAGTCACACACTTGCCATTCTGCCAGTTGTTAGCTGGAGTATTGGACTACTTTCAATGTTACACCCGCATTTCCACAGAGTTCCTAATAAACAATCAATATCTGGGAAATCTGATTACAGTAATCTGTGAAAGGAGAAGGTATCAGCCTACCTGCAACAAGAATAAACATGTTCATTATTCCTCAGGAATGCTTATTACACTTTTTTCCATGATCAGCTAGTGGCAGCCAGTTGTTTCACTGACAGCTGGGATCAGTAGCTATTTCTTAGCCCATCCCATACTTAGTTACAATCCCAGCCATAAGCAGCTTGCTGCCTCAAACCACTTTGTTCCTTGTGGAAAGTTCTGTGCGTAGATAAGTTAGGATGCAATCTTTATTTTGAACCCTTCTCCCTGTTGCAGGTTGTGGTGAGCAGAGAGAAGGGATAACAGAGCTGAGAGGAAGGACTTGTGGAAGGAAAGGAATAGAAAGTGAAAAGAAGAAGGAAAAGCACACCTTAAAGGGAAGGAGGCACTAGAGTGGCAGAACTGGAAAGAAAAGACCAGGGACTGGAGAAGAAACTTTAAGGAATAAAAATACAGGAATAAAGGAATAAAAATCCTTCCACTTCTTCATGAACGTCTGCAGGAGATGAACCAGCATGGTTATGAGGTGAGTGCAGCATGACGTCTCTGCACTCCCGTGGGCAAAGAAGCCGTGGTGAGGTAGTAAGGCTCCAGCAGCACAGCAGAGGTAAGATTCTTCTCCCTACATCCTTTCCCAAAAATGCCTAACATGCAAGAAGGTTGTACAAAGCAGATCTATTCTAAGTCCAATGGGTAGTTGAGAGAGAGGTTCAGAAAATAAAAAGCAGAAGGAAAAAAATGAAATGTTCTTAAACAGAAAGTTATTGGTCTCAGAGGGAAAGACTGGACAAAGGAAAATTACATGGTCTAATATCAGAAGGAAAACCAGATGAAGCTATCTTAGAAAGCTGTTTAAATAAAAGTAAGCTTGTGTACAGTCCTGCAGATGTGAGAGAAAGCATCAGAAGCACAAATTAATTCCTTATCTCTCATATATCATTAAAAAGCTAATGCAAAATTGATACAAAATGATCAACAGTAAGAATGCAGCATCTTGCACTCAATTTATACCTGCATAAGCAACTAAACTCCAGGGAACAGTATAGAGTGTTTCCCTGTCTTCTCCATCACCCACCGTGCCACAATCTATGGGACCTGATGAGATGCATCCGAGTGTCCTTAGGGAACTGGCAGATGAAGTTGCCAAGCCACTATCCATAATATTTGAAAAGTCGTGGCAGACTGGTGATGTTCCCAATGACTGGAAAATGGGAAATATAACCCCCATTTTTAAAAAGGGAAAAAAGGAAGACCCAGGGAACTATAGGCTGGTCAGTCTCACCTCTGTGCCCAGCAAGATCATGGAGCAGATCCTCCTGGAAGCTATGCTAAGGCACATGGAAAACAGAGAGGTGATTGGTGGCAGCTGACGTGGCTTCACTAAGGATAAATAGTGCCTGACAATTTGGTGGCCATCTATGACAGGGTGCAGCACTGGTAGATAAGGGAAGAGCAACTGATGTCATCTACCTGGACTTGTGCAAAGCATTTGATACTGTCCCACACAACATTCTTGTCTCTAAAATGGAGAGACCTGGATTTGATGGGTGGACCACTTGGTGGATAAGGAATTGGCTGAATGGTCATACTCAAAG